TGATTTCTGTTGCAGTCATCCCCTTAGCTCCTCCTTGCTTTCACAAACCTGACTTAAATGGTTAGGCATCTAAATTTCTTCAAGAATCCTTAGGAGTTACATTTTAGGGGCATAAGACAATCCTGGTATAATATAAGCTGCGTATCTAACTCATTTTTGAAGATGGGAATTAAATTCTATTTTAAATTATAACCCAAGGCTTATTTATGATTAAATGAAAGCTTTTTCAGTTATTATTTCTTGCTGCACCTTATCCAATTCCCTTGTGATTTGTCTTGGATCAGCCATTTTATTTGTACTTTCCTGACAAAAGCAACTGTTTGAAAATGCAGCATTGAATCATAGAATCATAGAATTTTAGGGGTTGGAACGGACCTTGGAGATCATCTAGTCCCAACCCCTGCCCTGAGCAGGGACACCTCCCACCAGAGCAGGCTGCTCAAGGCTCATCCAACCTGGCTGTGAACACTGCCAGGGTTGGGGCAGCCACAGCCTCCCTGGGCAACCTGGGACAGTGTCTCACCACCAGAACAGGGAAAATATTTTTCCAAAGATCTATCCTAAATTTCCCTCCTTCAATTTGTGCCCATTGCCCCTTGTCCTGTCATTGCAGCTCCTAACACAGATCCCTCTGCAGCTTCCCTGGAGCCCCTTCAGATACTGGAATCATTTGGAACAAGAGGAGGAGGCAATTTTGGGGTGTCCTTAATCTACAAACACTGTAGCAGTTTTATAGTTGTTTACTAGACAGAGTCCAAAGACTTACTCAAGTTCATCTTCAGAATCATAACTAATGTGCATCTCATGAGAAGCTGCGACATCACTTGTGGATTGGCACAACTTCAGATTGCTGCTCCCAGAAGATGATGCCTCTTTCCTTTTCTTTTTACCAAAAAACTTTTTGAAAGATTTGAACTTCGATTTTTTCTTTCCTAAGTGAAGAAACATAAAGAAGATGCAACCAGCAGCATGTGCAAGTTTCTGAACAATAATAATTCCTTAACAATTTTTTGCATAAGTGGATTTTTTCTTTGGAAAATGCAGCACAGTCCACTCTTGCATTAATGTCTTTCAAGACTATACTGATAGCATGAAATTACTATTATCTTGGAGAATGGATTGCAATGTTTATGACACAGAGGAAATAACTGATGATGTAGAATCATTCCTAATAGTGTTTCTACTTGCCTCTTGAGATAATTAAACTGTGAAGGAAAAAAAATTGGTATTAACAGCCTGGGATCTGGAAAAGAAATTACAACTTGGAAACCCACTGCCTTTGTTCAGCAAGCTAAATAGTGGTGATAAGGACAATGCTACCAAAACCAATTTAAATGTAGAAAAGGATTACATAGGTGAATGTGCAGTGTCGGGAGGCTAATGCTTCTAAAATGTTGGGTTTATAATACATCCCAGAATATTCTGAATGCTAATTACCAGACTCAATGGATCACAAAGTATTAAACTAGAAATCAAGCAATAACCTTGAAAAGCAATTCTAGTCTGCTCTAGTGAGGAAAGACCCAAATTAGGATCAGTTGTGAGCTCTGTGAAGGAAAGCATTGAAAATTAAATCAGTGTTTTGCACAAGACATTCCAACAACTTGTGTGTGTCCCATTTAAGTTGGCAGGACAGCACTGTGAGGCATCCCTGTCAGCATTACACTTCTTGTTGGATCTTCTTGGGTAATAAAGCTGGCTGGGTAACAAGATGCTACAAAAATCTGATTTCAAGCCTCTGAAAATGTAAAATAAAAGTACCAGCTCTTGGGAAGAGGAAAAGACAAAGGCAGAAAGCATTCTCTAAATAAACAGATTCACTGCTGTGGTATGGCTAAGGCATTGAAGTTCAAGAAGTCACTGCACTTTTCATTCACTGGGGAAGGGAGCAATTCTACCTGAATTGTCCTCTCCATCTCCTTCAGTATCTCGCAGCTTAGGGTCCATTATCCTTGAGGAACTCATGTGACAATCACTAAAGGAGGGAGAAAAAGTGTCAGTAATATCAACAAAAGAACAGTACTTATTATATATGTGTAACATACCTCTAGGCAAGTTATTAAAGTGTAAAAATATAACCACACAACAACCTCATGCAGCTCCAGGCTGGGGG